GGCGCGCGGAACAAAACCTTTCCCACAGACGGCGCTAGCTGATGATACAGCGGGTTCCAAATGGAATGGGTCAGGCTGATCCACGCTCCTCAAGCTTATGTTCGAATGACCAAGCCCACCAGAAGATTTGCACAAGACTTCAACGGGGAACGGGGAGTACCCCGGCGAACCCTCCGACGAGCAAGTTAGAGAGAGAAGTGGAACGTGTAGATAGATTAGAGATAGAAAAGCTTAACCTTTTTCATGTCTTCGACGTCTGCTTATATCCTCTGGTAATCATTTCGTTGTCCCTTCTGACCTATCACCTTGGTCGAAAGTCTATACTCTAACTTACCTTGTTCATGGTGAAGGCGTTCTGTCCCGACAGAGATGGGTTATCCCAATAAATGCGGTAAGGGGCTTCATTAATCGCGATGTGCCGTGGCAATAACTTTGCAGATCTTTGTCTGCTTATGTGGCTTGCCCTTCTCTTGACATGTGTCTTGATGTCATTGGTTCTTATTGCTATGTGGGGCTTCTGCAGTGCTGGGCCTTAGCATTTGAATTGTGTATTGGGCCCTAAATGGTAGACTATAATCTTTATGAATTTACCCATGTCAATTATTATTTTATTTTATTTATTTATTTTTCCAATCAAATACTTTATAGCAAACCCAAAAGAAATATAGGTCATGAATCATGATATTAAAGTTAACAATCCCCCTCCTCTTTATAAGGAGTATCAAACATCGCCTATATATACAGTTCTAATACAGTTATTTGACGACAACTTCAATTAATTTGACACTTTTTTAAATATCTTTATAGACATTAGTAATATACTTAACCAAGAATAACACTTTTTTTTTCTTTTCTTTTTTTTGACTCTTTGATATGGTATTGTAGTGAAAATTTAACCTATTGTACTTTAGTTCGTGAGAAGTGATAAATTTTGGCAACTTTTGGGGGAAAAAAGAAAAGAAAAGAAAAGAAAAGAGAAGAAAAGGTTCTTTTGAATTATAGAAAATCTCAATATTTCACAACAGTAAATGTCCAATTATAAAAAAGAAAATAGAAAAAAAGTTTCCTGACAGGTTTAGGAATTTTTGTTAGGGTAAACATTTGAAAACTTAAAATTTTCAAATTATATAAAAGAAATACATCTATTTTAATATAATTTATTTTCAATAAATCTAGCAATTTAAACTTCATAAATAATAAATTAAAATAATTTTAGTATATTGATAATGTTATAGCAAAAAACATGTTGAGTTTTCACATATTTGAAATCGTCACATAATAAATTTATTCACAATTTACTACCTGTGGGGACATAATTTTTATGTGACCAATAATTAATTAATTAATTATTTTCCAATAAGGTTTTTATTTTTGTTTTATTATTTAATGCTGATGTGGCTACAGTGAGCTATGGATTGGGCTTTTGAATTCTCAAGTGAGTACCATGTGAGCTATGGATTGGGTTTGGGTTCTGATCAATATTATCTTTAATCTAGCCCAATTTGTAACATTCAAAAAACATTAATTAAAAGAAAGGGATAACAAGTCACCAAGCAAATATATATATATATATATATATATATCATAAGGAACATAGTAAGAAAAGCTATAAAAAATTATTAAAAAAAAAGAATAAAAAAGGTCAGTATTCCTGACCTGGGATCAACCATGAAAACCTATTTTGAAGAAAGAATAATGAATTTTACATTATACAAACCTTAGCAGTTGGTATTCCGGACCCGGGATGACATTTCTTCTTACAGGGTGTCTGGCAGTACCCAAAAAAAACACAAGTTTTGCTAAAAGGGCTAAAAATATCAAATGTAACATTAACTTTTTTTTTTTTCTCACAAAATGAAATTTTTTAACAATTTTCTAGATGTATTAATTAAAAAAGCCAATCCCGAACGGCCATTTAGTTCGACAATGGAAGGAGGCTTCTAGCGAATGGCGACGGAAGACGGGCCCCTCAGTTGTGACGAGGCATGCCAACTGGAGTTTAGGTAATTTTTTAGAAAGAAGTTTCTGAACCCGTAGAATTACTGCATTTTAAGTGTAACTCGCATCCAAATTTTAAATCTATACATCATCAGATCCATTTTCGTTTTAAAATTCGGGCACAATTTCATGGTATATGACAATTTTTTAGAATAGTTCGAATAGATATCTTGCATAACAACGAACAGCATAACTTACAGTACACCCTAAGCCTTCTCAAGCCTTTAGCCACTGCACATGGGCCTGACGGCCTCTCAAGCCCACCTGAATCCATTAATACTTGTAAGTAAGGTTGTGAAAAGCGGTTGCGGTCGTCATAACGGTAGCGGTAGTGCAGTTGCAATTGTGGAGTGTAAAGGTCGTAGCGTAACTGTTGCGGTAACCGAAACCGTGAATTTTTTTATTTTTCATACAATTTGAAAAAAACTTACCAATACGCATATTTTTTTTTCAGACCTGGCTTTGGTCCAGTCCACCATCAGACTGGACCGTGTTGTTGGGCCCGTGGGGGCCCACCACAGGTCCTGTTTTAAAAATATGAACCGTTCAATGTGTAGAACTCGTCGAGTACTATATGCCTGTGAAAAATCACGTTGATCGGATATCGATAGCTATGTGATCAAAATAGTTTTTTATCAACCGTTAATTTATTCACCGTCCATTTTTTTTTATACAAAACTGATTTGATTACATAGTTATTAATATCCGATCAACGTGATTTTTCACAGGCATATAGTACTCGACGAGTTCTACACATTGAACGGTTCAGATTTTCAAAACAAGACCTGCGGTGGGCCCCTACGGGCCCAACAGCACGGTCCAGTCCGATGGCGGACTGGACCAAAGCCAGACCCTTTTTTTCCATGATTATATTTATTGAGTTTAAAATAAATATTGATCAATTTTTGTAAATTTTTAAATATGATCCAATATATTTCAAATTTTTAAATCACTATAAACTGAGTTTTTTACATTTTATTTTAATAATTAATGACTTTATATTATACAAAAAATCAATTACTAACTATTATATATAAGATAAACAATGATAAAAGTAAGAAAATAAATAAGAGCTTAAATATATATGTATACATATTTTAACCAAGCCAAATAGATAATGACCACACTTATTATTATTATTATTTTCAAACAATATATAGATAGACATACATAAACAAAATGGTTGAGTGATAGCAGCTGAATAGAATAGTATAGGTCTTACAGTTTCAATAAATCAATAATATGTTCTTCATCTTCCTTCTTCTCTCTTTATCTCTTGGTCCTCCATCTTCTCTCTTTATCTTCCCTCTTCTCTCTATCCCTCTTCCCCCATTTTCAGCTCTTTTTTTTTGTGTTTTTTCGAAAGAAGCAGTTCGGAATCGTTACGTAATGGTGCGTAACAGGCCGTTACGGCTATTACGACGCCGTTACGACCTTTACGACAACTGCTACGGCCGACACACCTGTGAATCTCAATCATATTGCAAAAGCGGTCATAACGGGTGGCGGTAACCACCATAACCGTTACGTAACGGTGTTATGTACCGGTTGCGACCTTTTTTTAAAACCTTGCTTGTAAGGTTGTGATGGACTGCACATAAATTAAAGTCCGATGGTACTATGAATTAAAAACAAGTATTTTAAACATCCTAGGTTTAAAATTATTTCCATCGAACTTTAAATTTACTAATCATGTGAAAGAATTATTTCGAAATTTAAACTAGTTACTAAGGCTTTGTTTGGTAATTATTTTGTTTTCAGTTTATATTAACAAAAATTTTAAAAATTATCATAAAAACTTGTTTGGTAAATTTTTTGGTTATAAATAATACGGAAAAATTACCCATAAATCCTATCCAGAGAAAAGTTAAACCATTTAGTCTTTAAAGTTTTTTTGTATACCATTTAGTCATATTTTGTTGGCAGATTTTTGAGGGTGTGATTTGATTCCATTTGTTTTTACATCAATACCCTTTGCATGATTGTTTCCTTAAACATTTGATTATGTTTTCATTTTGGTTAGGTAATGTTAACGTATTATGGGGATTTATTATTGATTAACATTGTTTTCATTGTTTTTTGGGAGACAGAAAACGGTGAGCACCGTTTTTTCTGGTGGTGTGCGTCATTTTTCTCTATGTTAACATATTGGGGGGTTTTTTTTTATTGATTAACATTGTTTTCATTGTTTTTTGGAGATAGAAAATGGTGGGCGTCATTTTTCCCGGTGGTGGGCGTCATTTTTTCCGGTGAGCACCGTTTTTCGTCGCACTGTAACTGTACAGTTGAAGGTGTTGTCTTGCTGTGTTTGGACCACTGTGGTTAAGGCATCCAAACAGGTGTGTGGTTATTTTTTTTATTTTTATTTTTTATTTTTCCCCATTTCTATGATTTGTCAGTGGGATGGCTTCGATTAATTACACCAATTTCACGTAAAGAATAAGTGTTCTATTATGTTTTTCCTAGGTATGTTGCCATAGTAATGGGTTCAACAAATGTTCACAGGTATGGACGGAGGGATATTGTTGGTGTGTTCTTATGGTTTAGTCAATGTCGTTATTCGGTTGCATCAGGATTCGTCATTCGTACAAATTGTTGTTGATATTTGTGGGAAGTTCGATGGACTGGTACTAAGGGCGGTGTGTTTGTTGTTCGATATTCCCGGGTATAAGAAGTTTAAGGTGGATAATGACGACGATATTCAAAACATGTTATGCCTTGCTAAGTCGTTTGGGATAAACCACATTGAGGTCCTCATTCAGAAACGTAATGTTGGTGTGGGGGGTAATTGTGGTGTGCTGGATTCCACGAAGGATGGGGGAATTTCCCGGGATGCTAGTAGGAATGGTTGCGTGGATGACCAGATGGATTTGTTACCAATATACTGTCCAAACAGATCGAAGATGTTTTTGTCAGCGTAATGGGCGTATGGGATTCGCCATGTGGGACAATGTTTTGATGGTGGAGCAACTAAATTCTGTGAAGTTCTATGTAAGTATGCCATGGAATGTGGATTTCAACTCAAGTATGGTAAAAATGATTCCGTTCGAATTACAGTAGTGTGTAAGTTTGCGGCGGCAACAGATTGTTCGTGGTCAGTTCATGCGAGGATGTTACCGTTAAATGGGGTGTTATGTAGTAAGAGGTTCGATAGTGTGCATACTTGTGGGGCTGCTGTACGTAGGAACCCTCGTTCGAGGTCTGATTTGGTGTTTACTATTATTGCGGATTGGATGCGCGATCAGCCATTGATGCGCTCTACTGATGTTGTGTTTGATTTGAAAAATGAGTATGGTTTGGACATTAGTTACCGAGTGGCATGGTTGGGTGTTGAGAAAGCGAGAGGCGAAGTGTACAGGGATCACGCTATGTCCTTTGACCAACTCAGGTGGTATAACGATTCCGTTATGCAAAAAAAACCCAAACAGTTACATTAACCTTGAGTTTGACCAGAAAACCCGGAGGTTTGTTAGGTATTTCATATCATTCTGCGCTTGTATAGATGGGTTCAATCATTGTCGGCCTTTGCTATTCTTGGATGGAACGTTTTTGAAAGGTAGGTTTAAAGGTAATTTGCTTGAGGCTACTGCCAAAGACGCCAATCAAGGTAATAGTGTGTCCTCTTATTTCACATTTTCTGCATGTACTAGTAAACAGCTACTTCCATTTTCATATGTTCCAAATGAGTTTTTTTATAAAAAAAAAAAAAATCAACATTGGATGTCCTCAAATTGAACTGTACAATAATGTAAAACACAATGGTAGGCTTATTCATTTTGCTTTTTCAAAATCTGTCGTACTTATTTTGTGTGGATGGTTGTACAACTTTACACATGGCAAACTATTTATGTTGCATGTTTGGTCCTAGGATTGTTTCCGGTAGCCTTTGCTATTGTTGATTCCGAGAATTTAGCCAATTGGGAACGGTTTCTGTGTAATTTGAAAGAAGTTGTTGGGAGCGGGCGGACATTAACTTTCGTATCTGACCGTCACGTCGGATTATTATAGTCTATGCCAATAATTTTCCCTTCGGCACATCATGCATATTGTTTGTTGAATCTCCAAATGAACTTGAGGGATTGAATGAAATATGTTAATGCATTGCACAAAATTGGGTTGATGCGCAAGTTACGAGAATGTGCCTACGCGCCCACTGTTACTTGTTTTAATGAGAAATTGGAGGTATTGAAGAAGTCCAACCCAGCTGTGATTGAAGATTTTATGAATGACTTGCACCCAAAACACTAGTCTAATACGTATTTCAGGTACTTCATGATCCGCTTAATGGGTTATGGCGTAATTTCAATTTCCGCATGTTTTTTTGTAGTATGTTTTATTGTCGTTATCATTGATGATCTTCATACACGTTGCTTTGGTTATTTTTTAGGGGCCGACGGTACGAGAAGATGTGCTCAAACGCTGCTGAATCTTTCAACAATTGGGTAGGCGAGGCCCATATTCTTTCTATTACTAGATTGGTTGATATGATAAGGAGTCAAATAATGGAGCAGATGTCAGAACGCAGAGTTAAATGCACTAAATGGGCCGGTGTAATATGCCCTAAAATGGAGAAAAAATTAGTGACGGCCTATAACGACAACAAGGCATGGTGTGTGAGCCAGGCTAATGATGATGTGTACGAGGTTCACTCCCATCCATCGGTGTTGGTTGATGTCGTCAAGCAGACATGTTCTTGTTTTCAGTGGCTAATAAATAGGTTCCCGTGTTCCCATACTGTCGTTGCATTCCGTAATTGTGGAAGAAACATTTACGATTCGATAGACTATGCATTCTACATCGATACATTTCGAGCTATTTATAGCAGAACAATATATCCCATCCCAACAGTGGAGAGGCCGACGTTTAACCCAACTAACTATTTAATAGCACCGCTGATGGTCAAGCGTCCTCCCGGTAGGCCCAAATGGAAAAGAATTTCGTCTAAGGGTGAGGTAGTGCAACGTATGCGTTGCGGGCATTGCGGAAAATTGGGCAATCACAATAGGAAGACATGCAAAGAGCCGTTATAGACAGTCTGCCATATGATTTAATTTTTTTTCCGACAAACTGTGGTTATGTTGGATTAACGTATTTTGTTTTTCGAACTGTTTTCCACATTGTTTTTAATTAGTCATTTACTTTCTGTTATAGGTTTAATCAATTTGGTAGGATATATACTTTTCTCTGACCCAGCTATCATTTCAGTTTCCACTGTTAAACAATCACACACTGCACCTTTAACACCCAACTATCGTGGTCATTACATTATGGCATCACTTTCATGTAGCTGTACCGTAACACAAATGGGTGTCGTTTGTTTTCAAATCTATGCACATCATACCAAACATTAACCCAAAACCCACTGTTTCAAATAATTGGAATGGCAATGGAATTTTATGTTTGGGTGTTTGTTTGCAAATCTGTGTACATCATACAAAACATGAATCCAAAACCCACAGTTTTAAATAATTCAAATGCTAATGTAATATTATGTTACGGTGAAATAGTGTCTCTATAATTATAATTAAAATGTCAATGGCAAATTAATCTACTGTCATGCCATATTAAACATGTGGCCGACGTGCGTATTGTCTTTGCATGTCAACTTCCGTATAGATCAAACCACGCTTAATCCCATGGTGGCAAAACAGGTTTCCCAAACTTACTGTCGACATGTTAACTTTTGTATAGATCATACCATATTTGCATACAAAGGTCCATATGGCATTAAAAAATAATGTTCTGCACATGCACATTAAAATGTAACATACTATTTACATTACTCGGACATTACCATCACATCTCAAGAATACGGTAACGGAAGGACATTGACGTACTAGTAGCCATGTAAAGAATAACCTTTAGCATGACAATAAAGTAACATAGGACAACTACCCAACCAGTTTTTCTGTCCTAATGTTCTGTTTTCACAAATTAACAGAACATTTATGTACGTCCATAAAACTTCAAAAATAAAACATCGTAATCATGTTGTTGCACCTTCTGGAATGAGTAACGTGAACACCTCTTACAATGTCCTCCCACGGAGTCCTCTGCCTGGGTCATTGAAGAACATGTCCACCATCGCAGCACGTAGGCCAGTTGGTGTGAGACCGTTCATGGTAGTGTTGACTTCTGCCCCACAAATGTATTGCCTGATAATGAAGCACACGAAAATTTTGCAATCCGACCTGCACTCACAAACATCGATACCAACGTCACTTACTCAATACATTATCAAAACAATTAACTCAATCTAATATAAACATTACTTACGACTCTGGAACTTTTTGCAGACAATCCACAACAGATACAAAAGTGCCATAAAAAAAGTCTGCCCTAACGCCCTCAGCTGTAACTCTTGGTTTCATGAATTTGTTGTGCTGGTCGGCCACTCATTGTTTCTATTGATTTTTCACATGTTAGTTTAGCTGCATACGGGTTAACATTAAAACTTCCAAAATTACAATTCGTCAACCATGCACATACAAAACTAAGATTGATAAACTACCATTGCACCACCACTACAATTCGACAAGCATTCATATACAAACTATTACTGGTATTGCTGTACTTACAACTTTTAGAGCCTCATTATAATGCTGATTAGGCACTCCACGTCTTGGCCTCATGGAGTTGTGATGTTTCCAATTCCCACTTTCTGAATTGTATGCCATGACTGTCCAATGGTTGGCATTGTAGATCGGGAAAAGTGTGTATTTGCAACCTCGCGCAGTCTTCATGTGTACGTTCAAGTACTTCGTTCATGATATAGCGTTACTGTTTCGCATCATATCTTGTACAATTGTCCAAAACCAACCCAGCCATATCAGATTTCATTACAACAAATATTATTTTTAGATTTCTTGTAAACAAGCTATAGTCGTGATACATGCCGAACACACACTAGTGTAAATGTATGTTGTGCCCACATATTCCATATTCTGGTCTTCCACACACCATCTTATGCATTTCAGTCAACATATCAGCGTATGCATCGATTACCTACACCATATGTTACCCATTACTATTCCAGTGCACTAGTAATAACAATTTGTAAATTTATGTCCACTATGTGCTACTAGCATTTTGTTTCCATCAAGTGGGAGTGCATGCATTTACATATTTGTAATGGTGTGTTATTAAATATATTTGTCATTTCGTCACAACCACGATACGAATGAAACAATGTTTACATGTGTATGAGAGGTTTTTTTAAAAAAAAAAAAAAAATCTTCAATGGTAAATTATACGAGACCAGCTTACATTCCCATGGATGGAGTTCTACTGCACCAAATCTTTGATGTCTGTGAAATGCACTCGTATTCCATTGTGTCCACCGTCCTATACTATTAACCTACACATCATAAATCAAATTTAACAACCACTATAATACAGCATTTACAACTTCTACATGTAAAAGAGTACAATATTCCTTACGAACAACTTACCCATCCCCTTCTAAACTGTACATTCTCTCTAGTAGTTGCCTATTTTCATCCTTTAACATGTTCCACACAGTGTGCCTTCTATTCATACCAAAACCATGCCAGGTTTTACGCTCCACCTCGACGTCCTCAACACTGTAAATCACCCCGGGCTCAAACAATTTACCTAGTCTCACATTGGCACTTACTTGTGGTCATCCAAATATGCCAAGATATTTGTAGTTAGACAACTTAAATTCCTTCTTGCCTTGTTCTTCACCCGTTTAACCAGTGACGTCATTTTCGGCCTAGAATTTGTCGCAGCAGTAATGTGTTCATAACCAGCTTGTACGCCGGCGACAGTTGCGCCAACATTTACATTTCCACCTAACACTGACTGTGCATTTCGGGGACTGCAGCTACCCTCCACCCCTGCCATAGTCGAACGTACATTCTCATAGGCAAAGTCGACCGTCAAATCTTCAATCCCAGTTTCGTTCTCAACAATTTCTAATTCGGTGATGCCAACGTCTTTGGTTTAGCTTGCATGACATACAGACTGCTGCGCACTTTCGCCACTCGTCACGTTGCCAGAACCACTCACTTTCCCTAAAAGTCTGTTACTCGGTGTTCGCTGATTGGATCCATCATTGACAACACATTGCGTGATTTCGTGCACCTCAAGATCATCAAGACTATCCTCCAAATTGCTTATATTTGACTCCAATCGATCAACCAGCTTACTGAATCGAGCAATTTCAGAATCCTTCTTGACAATCACACTATTTAAGTCTACAAAAAAATTAGCAGCATGCCTCCCGAGGAGTTTCTCTATCGTTTTGACACGATGTTCCAGTTCACGTACCCGTGCGTCTTTACTCTTGATTTCACTCTCCAACTCAGTAATTCTGACGTTACAAGTTCTTAACTCGTCATTCACCCCCCCTGGTTCTTCACCAAGGGCTTCACCATCCGATGTGCTGGACAGGTTTAGAAGATCCGGGAACAATATTGGCCACACTTCTCCACCTGCCACCATCTTACTACCCATTTTTTCCTTGCTGGTTGGTGTACCAGTATTCTTATTCTTATAATCATATCCCCTTTCCATTTTGATGGTACCACCATTCGGTGTATCCGGTTGCCAACAATTGAAGCTTGGCTCCATGCTACCCACATCATTTGTCTCAACAACAGCCCTGTAGACACCCCATTTTTGACTGACCTTAAGACTCAGACGTCACCAGTTGAGCGTTCGGTGATGTTGCATATTGTGCTCGTTCTGAGGTTTCAGAGTCTCGGCTGCAAGCCTTGCCTCCGGACTTTGGGGCTCTTTTATGCTTTGTCTCGGTTTGCAAACCAGGTCCTGTTTTCTCTGTTTCCTCTTCCCGAAGGGAGGGAGAGGTCTCGTAGACCATCTCTCAGTGGCCGTAGGCTACGTTTCGTGGTTGTAGGCCATTTTTTCCAGTTTGGAGCCCAGTTTCCGGTTTTCGAAGCCGTCGGCCGTGTGCCTCGGTTCAGGACCACTTAACTACCTCTATTTGCTCCAGTTTTTGTCACACACCTTATTTCCTCCCTTTAGAGGGACACTGTGGCCCAGGAGACCACCTTCGTGGTCATACGCCACTTCCGGTGCCTAATAGCCTATTTTCGGGGCCTAGGACCGCGCGTTTTGGTACCCGAACCATCGTTTTGCATCCGTTTTGGTCCATTTTTGGTAGAGACCCTATTTTCATTGCTAGGGAGGTGGTAGGATGGTGGCCGGCCACCTTTTCCCCTGAAAAGCCAGTTTCCTTTTTTTCTCTCTCCAAAAGCCGATTTGTCTGACAGAAAGCTGGTTTTTCTCACTTTTGAGCCACATTTTCTGGCTTTTTATACTACCATTGTGTTGTGCTCATCTGGGAGGCCACCAATATGGGTAGGCCGGCCAGAAATTCATCTTGACCCTTTTGAACCTTGCTTAAAAGCTAGCTTTTCTCTCTCTTAGGTCACTTTTTTGGGTTTTTCTCCACACAGCTGTATTCTACTCATCTGGGAGGCCACCTTTCTAGGTAGGCTGACCAGTAATTTTTGTTGACCCTTTTGACCCCTGGTCGGCCGACCGGGGGGGTGGCTGGCCGGCCACTTGAACTGGCCGGCCTGCTTCTTGCTTTTTGCTTTTTTCTGAGTGTAATCCAACTGTGCCAGCTGGAGACCATTTGGTGCATCCTCCATACACGTGTATGGAGGATTTTTGAAGCTTCCAAGAGAAGCTTTGGCCTCTCTTCTCTATAAGAGAGGCCCTCCTCTTCATATCTAAGGGTTAGACATTTTTGGCCAAGGCACATAACCTCCCTCTTCCATTGTCACTATTCTAAGCTCCCAAACCCTAACTTTCTTGGTCCATTTACACTACAACCCTTAGCACCACACCTCCATTGTCCATTCCAACACCTTGGAAGCCATTTGCAGAGGTTGAAAGCTCACCAACTTGGTCCAAAAGTTGTTGGAGGTCAGCTCTTCAAGGGTAAGTCCTCATTTCTCCCATTTTTGCATTATTTTGCCCTATACCTTAGCTCCATTTGCAAGAATTTTTGAGCCTTGGTATAAACTGAAAATAGTCT